CAGTTGCCTCCACTATTACAAGCCTCCCGGGGTGTGGGAGAGCTGGGCAGGGGAAGGGAATAGCGTGAGCCAGTCCTGGAGGCCGGAGGACAGGCGGGAGCTGGTGGTGGGACCAGGAGACTGTGGAAAGTGCTGGGCCCAGGAGGGTGAGAGGTTGGCCAGAGAGGGAGGTGGGATGAGGCTGCAGAGGACCTGAGGTCTGAAGATTTGCCCTGGTGGCAGAAACCACGTGAGGCAGGCTGTCACCTCCACCCTAGAGGTCAGGTGCATTCTTACCCGGAGCAGGCACCAAGAGCTCCAGGGAAAAGCCCCTCTGGGAGAAAGCCACTATCCCTACCAGTGCTGCCTGCTTCCCAGACTGCTTCAGATGCTGAGCCCAAGGCCAGCTTAGGGTGTCGGGAAGCTGGTCTGATGCCCAGGCGATCCCAACGAAGTCCCTGGCTCCCCCCCACTTCTGGGTCCCAAAGGGAACTACAGCCCCGACTGCCTGGTGCTGGCTCTCAAGCGAACACGGAGGCCTCAGTGCATCAGGCAGATCTGATCAAGTCCCTTTCCACATAAGGAACCAGGCTCAGGGAAGCAAGAGTCCTTCCCAAAGCCCCAGCCCAGGGCCCAGAGTGTTCTCTTGTCCCTGTGACTGGCCCATGCCAGCCTGGTGGCTTTCTCCCACTCTGGAAGCCTGGGAGGACGGGATGAGGCCCACACAGCAGCACCTGGCCATCGGCACGCCCCAAGGGGCACAGGTGGGTAAGTGACACCTCTCCTGCAACGTCACGTGCACGTCACGTACAGTTGGCAGCAGCCGGGGAGCCCCCCGGGGTGGTTTGCTTCGAATGGAGCCTGGCTCTGACAGAGCTCAGCTCTGCAAGCCCCTGAGGCACAGAGAGCTCAGGGACACGAGGTGAGGGAGCCAGGGTTCAAACCTGACCCTGGGGCTCAAAGTCCGTGCCCTGACCTCTGCCCTGACCACCACTCTGTGTCGGCCCCGCACGTCCATCAAACCCTCGGGCCGGCGCCCTCCCCAGCATCCCAGGGACTCCAAGCTGGCGCCCTCCGCACCACCCCTCCTCCTGCTTCAGTATCACCCCTACACAGAGCCTGAGCCACTACGTGGCATTAAGCAGATGCCCCAGTAAATCAGTCTTGTCCACTTAAGCCAGAAGCCATCCCCCCGCCTCCCCACCAGCTTGTTCCTCTGGGCCTTGTGCCTTCTTGGATCCCACCAGCAGCTCACAAATGAGCCCTGCGTCAGGGCCGAGGCGCTGGTGTTCGTAACAGGAAGTCTCGGGGTGGTTAATTGGTATTTATGTCCCCAGGTACACACCTCAAAGTTGATGGATGATGCTGTTCCTGCCAGCCTGAGGCAGGGTGAGGGGCTGAGCGGCTGTGCCAGGGCCCTCCCCTCGCTCACCCTGCCCAGAACTGAGTATCAGCCCCAGCTGCCGTTGTTACACACTTTGGCACATTCAACTTCCTCCCTCTGCTCCAACCAACTCCTTCCTGCCTCTTCTCCCTAAAGACCGTGGAACTGAGATCAGACCCGAGGTAGACCCAGCTCTGTTTTGGGCTAGCTCTGTGATCTTGGGCAAGTTACTTAATCTCTCAGAGCCTCAGTGTCTCCATCTCCAAGCTCTAAAGCAGATGAGACACATTCCAGGGCCAAGCACAAGGCCTGGGTGTAGCAGGTGCCCTGTGGACACTCCCCACCGTGCCCCCCAGGCCCCTCAGTCTCAACGTGTTCCCCCCTAAACCTGTGCCCCCTGCCACCCCCAGCAGCCCAAGCCAGAAGTCTGGGATGTCAGCTGGGATGCCCCCTAACATTTTGTCACCCAGTTCCAATGACTGTACCTTGTGTATTCACACATCCCCACCCACTATCAACGTCTTAGATGCCTTCGTCTCTCCAGATACTCCCACCAGCCTCCTAACTGGTGTCCCTTCCCCACCCGGGTCTCATTCTGCCCTCCTCCCCAGGAAAGCCTGCCTAGCCGCCAGAGAGTTCCCTAAAGAGGAAATCTGGTAAGTTTACTTTTTTATTTACAACCTTTCAGTGGCTCCCTGTTGCCCTCAGGACAAAATACAGCCTCAGTTTCAGAGAGGATTTACAGAACCCTTTGCGACTATCCCCACCACTCCCACCTCACTTCCTGCTGGGGCTCCCCCTACCTGTCACAGGTCCTCGGCCCACCGTGCTGTTCCTGACTCCAGGTGGACTGTGCCCATGTTCTTCCATCGTTCCCTTCCCCATCTGCCCTGATTAACTCCCACTTTAGGACTTGGCTTGGGCACCAGCTCTTCCAGGAAGTCTTCCCTGCCTGCCCAAGCTGGGTTAGGGCCTTCTGGGCTCCTCCAACCCCCCCATGCTTCTGCCTTTTCTTCCCGCAGAAGAACTCTGTGCCTAGTAAGTGCTCAAGCGTGAACACTGCAGGCCCCTCCCTAAGAGGTTTGCACAAACAGGAGGATGAGAGGGCTGCAGAATTCAGACCTCCTTCCAACTCAACTCCTACCAGGACCCCCAGGCTGCCCCGGGCCCAGCCTGAGATCCTGCAGGGGACTCAGGTTGGGTGGATTCTCCTGGGCCTCAGAGAATGGTCAGAGCTCATTCAGCCTCTCCTCCAGCCCCCAGTGCCTGCCTGTGGCCCTACAGGACTCACAGCTCTCTCCAAACCAAAGTACTATGACCATCTGCTCTTCCAAGCATTTCATTAGCCCCCCGAAGCCGACCCAGGGGCCTCCGAGACCGAGCCCAAGCCCAACAGCAGTCAAACTTCCTGCCAGATCCATGGCAAAACAGTTTCCCAGGCCCAGGCCAGGCCCTTGGTGGCGGCTTTCCCGGCCAAAGGCTCACAGAGCAGCCTCTGCATTGGCATCTCCAACCCAGCCTCCAGTCCCCTGCAGGATCTCAGGCTGGGCCCGGGGCAGCCTGGGGGTCCTGGTAGGAGTTGAGTTGGAAGGAGGTCTGAATTCTGCAGCCCTCTCATCCTCCTGTTTGTGCAAACCTCTTAGGGAGGGGCCTGCAGTGTTCACGCTTGAGCACTTACTAGGCACAGAGTTCTTAGCCATGCTGGGGGCTTCCTAGCCACAGGTTTGACGGGGCCCATACTGCAAACCTTCAGGGGCATCACCGCCTGCCTCAAGGATGAGGTTCCTGCTCCCCAGCTGGCCCAGGAAGCCATGTGACCTCACTGCACCCACCTTCCTGGCCTCCCCAGACTTCACCCCTCCTCGCCCGGCTTGCTTCAGCTGCACCAGCCCCCTATTGCTCCTGCCTGTACCCCACCTTGGCACAGGCTGCTGCTCCACCTGGCAGGCCCTTCTCACCTTCTCCAGGAAAACGCATATTAACTGTCACCTCCTCTGGGACTCCTGCTTGGATTGCCCAGGAAGGCAGGAGTTTCCTTGTCTGTGCCCTTCAGAACTGCATGTTCTCCTGTTCTGGCCTCACCACACGGTGCTGTCTTTCCTGCTTTTGGTGTCTGGCTGTCCAGCTAGACCGAGGAGCTCCTGGAAGACAGGAGTCCGTGCAGACTCAGGCCCTCTCTGTGATCCCCTCACGGCATAGCTTAAGGCAGGCACCCAAATGCCTGGGGGGTAAAGGAAAGAAGGAAGGGAAGGGTCGTCTCCATCTTCATGTATCAAATACCTGTTGTGTGCCGACTCTGGTCCAGCTATACTGTTGTCCATTAGTCAGAGCCTCCAGTGGGCCAGAGAGACTCACTTCAGAAGCAGGAGGCCCTGGAGTCCAGCCAGGGGCCTGGGCTATACCACTGACCCTCTACCAGTTGAGCAGAGACCCCAGGCCACTGTGGAAGGCTCCCCTGACCCACTTCCCGCCCTGGGCCTGGGGTTTCCTGCAGGTTCGAACCGGCTCTGCCCCTCCCTGGCTAGGTGATCTTGTCTCTTGCCTGTCCCGGATGGAGGCTGTTCCCAGTCAGGCACTTGTCCCTGCTCACAGAGCTGACTGAGGAGTGGCAGCCCAGCTGGGTGGCTGCCCAAGCACCACATAAACAACCCCCCCCCCCCCGGGAGATGTTGTTCCCCATTCTACTTTGCAGGCACTCACCGGTGTCGTGTGGCAAACTTTGTCAGGTGGTCTTAGATGTTTTCCCGTGCTGCCTGGCCTGCCATGGGAGCCCTCTGTGAGGCCCAGGTAGGATCTCAGCTCTGGCCAAGCTACCTCATCTCCTGGAGCCTCAGTTTCCAATTCTGACAATGGAGGCAGTGTCTCTTGTCTGCGAGGTGTGAGTGATGGCCACGGGGAGGTCGAGGCCATGGGCGGTTGGTGCTGCAGAAGCGGGCAGCTTCGCACCCCTGCCATCCGGGAAACACTCCCACTGCTGTGGCCTGAGCCAGCCGCGGGAACCTTGGCAGAGACGCGGTAGAGAGAACACCGGCCTGGGGTCAGGCCCCTGTGCTGGGCTCTCAAAGCAGTCACTTCCCCAGCCGGTCTCAGCCTCCCCCTGTGAAGGGTGACTGACACTCTGACCCGGGGGTCTGGGGTAGGTGGCAGGCAGTGAGCAGGACTCAGCAGCAGCCTACTGTCAGGGAGGGGCCTTCCCAGGGTGCTCAGCAACTGGGAGGTATGCCCAGGAGACAAGGAGGCTGAAAGGTCTCAGGCCTCAGCCTGAGCTCATAAATATTATTGACGTGTGGTGGGGGGGAGGGAGGGAAGTGGGTAGCTCTGCAACCACTGAGACTGATTTATTGGTTAATTAGGAGGTTGCCACAGCCACGGACTACCCCGCTGTGTGCATGGACAGGGAGGGAGGGGGCCACGGGGCAGCCAGGGCTGCCAGCTGGGACCCGAGTGTGGCTCAGCGTCTCACCTGAGCCAGGAGCACCAAGTGGCTGAAGGAATAATGCAAGGGGTTGGGGTCAGGCAATGGACCTAGGACTGGGTGGCTGGGGGAAGCCCATCGGACTCGCTGGCCTGAGTAGCAGAACAGAACTATCCTAAGGAAGGGGACCGGGAGCTCTCTGAGGTTTCCCAAGCATCCAGTCAAGTGTGGGGAGCTGCTGGTTTAGGGAAGAAGGCTGACGCAGACTCAGGAAGAACCAAGGAAAACCTTGGAAACCATGGAAACTGAGGACAGAGGCCCCAAAGGTGGAGAAGGTGGTTCCAGTGAGCAGAAAAAGTTAAACAGCCGTGGGTTTGAATCCAACTTCTGCCAGACACTAGCTATGTGACCTTGGGCAAATCACTAAATTTTTTTTTTTTTAAGATTTTATTTTTAAATAATCTCTACACCCAGCGGGCTTGAACCCACAAGCCCGAGATCGAGAGTCACACGCTCCATTGACTAAGCCACTCAGGTGCCCCAAATCACTAAACCTTTTTGATTCTTGATTTCTACATCTGTAGAAATGGAACTAATCATATCTATCTTGCAAAGCTGCTTTGATACTTAGATTGAAGAGTGTAGCACCGCATAAGATACACAGTAAATGCTCCATAATTGCTAAATTAGCTGCTAGTGTTACATTACCCAGGGCACGGCTTGGAAGGGAGAAGGGGCTTGATGAAGTGTGGTGGAGAAAGCAGGGCCTAGAAGGTGCTGACCGAGTTGGAGGGGGTGGGCGGAGGAACTGCCTTCGTGCCAGACTGGCTATGGCCGGAGCCTGGGGGCTGCCTGACCGGGGGAGGGGGGGGCGGGCTGCGCTTAGCTGGGTGGACCCAATTTCGCCGCCCAGGGGCGTCCACCGGGCTGGAGCCCCAGCTCAGCCAGTGCGCCTCGGAGGACCCCTGCCTGGCGCCGTCCCCTGGTAGCGCCGTGGCCTGGGGGAAGCGGAACGACAGACAGACGGTCGCCCCGCAGAGTGGAGGCGGACGAGGTTCATTCCGGTCCTGGGGCAGACGCGGCCCGTCCAGCCTCTCCCGCGCGGGCGGGCTCTTCCCGCGGATCCCCGCCCCGGCCGCCGCCCGCCGCCAGCCTCCCGCGAGGCCCGGCGTCCCCGGGGCAGCCGGCAGGGCCCGCGGCGGCGGGGCGGACGCGGCGGCGGCGGGCGCCCGGGGGGCAGCGGGCGCGGCGGTGGTGGCGGCGGCGGCGGCGGCGGCCGCAGGGCCACAGGCGGCGGAAGCGCGCGCGGAAGTGGCGCGAGGCGAGCGCGTAGACGAGCGGGTTGAGGCAGGAGTTGGCGTAGGCGAGGCAGTGCGAGGCCAGGCGGCAGGCGTAGGTGGCCGGGCTGAAGGCGAAGGGGCCGAACCAGAAGCAGAGGATGAGCGCGTGGTGCGGGCCCCAGCAGAGGGCGTAGAGCGCGGCCACCGCCAGCATGGCGCGGCCCGCGCGGCCCGTGGCTCTGCGCCGGGCCTCGGCCGCCACCGCGCCCGCGGGGCCCACGGCGGCCCACAGGAAGCGCAGCGTGCGCGCGTAGGCCAGGCTCACCACGGCCACGGGCAGCAGGTAGCCGGCGGCGAAGGTGGCCACGTCGAGGGCGCGGCGGCGCGCGTCCTCCCAGGCGGGCACGCAGAGCTCGAGCGCGCCGTAGCGCACCGTGCCGTAGTAGCTGAGGTAGGGCGCCGAGAAGAGCGCCGCCAGCAGCCAGACGAGGCCCACGGCGGCGCGGGCGTTGCGCGGCGTGCGCAGGGCCCGCGAGCGCAGCGGGTGCCGCACGGCCAGGTACCTGCGGGCGGGCGCCGGGTCAGCGCGGCAGGCGGGAGGCCGGGCGAGCTGCCCCCGCGCCTCGCGCCTCCCGCCCCCGCGTGGCCGCCGCGCCGGCACCTGCGCGCCCGCGCGGCCTGGCGCTCCGCGTCCGGCGGCCTGCCTCGCGGGGTGGTGGCGAGGGTGAGGGGCAGTAACCCGCCAAGCGCTTAGAGCAGTGCCTGGCGGCTAGCAAGGCGGGGTTCGAGGCGCGGAGGGAAGGGACTTGCCCAAGGTCATCAGCTAGAGAGGGAGCCTAGATTGGACCCCACGTTTGGAGCGACGAAAACAGGTATGACCACAGCCTGGGCGAGGTGTGGACGGTAATAAAATAACTGATGGTTTCATTCATGTGTTCTTTTTGCCATTCGTGTCACACTTACGGAGCACCTACTGCCTAAGACACAGCTCACAATGGGGTTGGGGGGAGGGCAGGATGGTCCCCTCGAGCACGCTCTGCGCGTGGTGCGCCCAGAGACTGGTTGGTGGGGGCCGGAGAGCGGTTCCTTCTCTCCCTCCCATCTCCCTCCTTGGTCTCCCCCCCCCCCGCCCCCCGCTCTCGTTCCTGAGGAATCTGTTCAGGTCTTGCCTCCCCAGCCCAGACCCAGCCAGGTCCCAGGCACAGCGCACCTGTCCACCGAGACGGCGGCCAGCGTGAAGCTGCTGGCGTACATGGTGAGGTAGATGAGCAGGTGCACAGCCTTGCAAACGAGGGCCCCAAAGAGCCAGGCGTCCAGTGTGTAGATGGCGGCCTGGAAGGGCACGCAGCACAGGATGAAGCAGAGGTCGGCCACCGCTAGGTTGAGGATGAATAGATCCGTAGTGCTGCCCGGCTCCTGCCAGGCACCGGCGCTGGGCTGCAACAGCACGGCCAGCACCAGCCCGTTGCCCACGGTGCCCAGCAGGAAGATGAGGGCAAACACCACAGGCACTGCCACAGCCCCCACGCTCCCCGGGCTGTCTAGCGAAATGTTCTGCGTATCAGCCATCTCCCCATCCAATGGGCACCTGAGGAAAAGAAGCTGGAGTCCTCAGACAGGAGCCCCCCCCACCCCCCGGCTCTGGTTACTTGAACCAGGGGTCTCAATCCAGGCCCCTAGCCTGGGCCTGGCCAGGTCTCCTGGGCAGGGAGCTCATGGGGGATGGAGGCGGGAGTGGGGAGACAGCCAAAAGTTATCCCTGAGAGCCACTTGTGTAAGCCTGGCACAATCGCATACATGTCTGAGGTGGGCTTCTCAGTTTCCTAGGGAACACCCCCATGAAAGATGATTAGGTGATAGACACCTCCCAGCCCGATGGGGTGAGGACATGGCAGATGGGGGAGGGGCGAACCCAACCCAAGTTGCTGATAGATCTACCTTACTTCTCCAAGGGGGGTTGAAGCTCAGGGAAGAGTCTGGGACATGGGTCAAAGTCAGCGAAACACGGGTGATATCCCTGAGTCATCTTGAAGTCCGGTTTAGTGAAAGCCCCACACTGTGGCACAGCTGGGAAAACCATATAGGTCACTGCCCCCTTTTTGCACAAGACGAAACTGAGGCTCAGAGAGGGGACATGGGAGGCTACTATCACACTTTTGAGTGGCAGACCTGGGGCTGTTGCCACCCTGGTACCCTGACTCCCAGGCTGGAGTGCTCGGCTGACAGCCTGTAACAGGTGGTGCTTCTGACGATGTGCAAGTATGTGTGTGTGCATTTATGCACACCGTGCCCACTCTCACCCTTGCTCCACCCCTCGGCCCATATGGGCTACTACCTGTGGATCCCCCTGCATGCCTGGAACCTCTGACACATGAAGGGCATGGGGGGGGCAGGCAGGGTGGACGGAAGAAAGGCAATATCTGCACCCCCAACCCCCAGCATGCAGCAAGCCCCCTGAAGCTCAGGAAGGGCAACACCCACCTCAGCTCTGGGCACCAGGCCCCGCTTGGTCCTGGGTGAATCGGTCCTGGGTGAACCAGACTGAGGCTGCCTCTTGGCTCATTGGCTGCCCCTTGGTGCCTCCCTGAAGGTTCAGGTCTTCCTCCTGCTTCTCCCTCTTCTCCTTTAAGGCACCTCCTCTGCTGAGCCAGACTTGGGCGCTCCCTCCGGAGTAGCCACCAGCCACCTCCTCCTTGGTCCCTGATTTCCCCGGGGTGGCATGCTTTTCTGCCTGGTTCTTTTCTGCCTCCCTGCGTTGCTTCTGCCTCTTTCTGCAGGGAGTAACCCATTGATCTCGCTCTCTGAGATTCGCTTTAGAGTTAACCCCTCCATGCCCAGGGCCCAGCCCATTCCTGGCACTCCCACCTCCAGCCTAATGATTCACTCCCCATCTTTCCTTTCTCTGCTCCAAGTAGGGCTCTAATCCAAGCTCAGAAAGGATTCCTCGTCTTGAATGGGGTGTCCTAGGCTAGGAAACCAGAATATGAGTCTCTTTTTTGGAGACCAGATAGGACTCCTCCCCCAGTCCCTGAGAATTCCTAGGCCCATTAAATTTCCTAAGCTTGTTCCAGAGGTTCAGTGTGGCTGGAGACGAAGGGTTTTGGTGTCCATCCAAAGAGTTTGGCTTTAGCCTGAGGGCAATGGGGAACTAGTGAAAGTTTTAGAGCAGGGCCACGGTCTGCCCATTTAGTTTGTAGTTGGTTTGTTTTGGCCTGGGGTGAAAAGGATGGACAGAAGCGGAGTGATTTAATGATTGACCCGTTAGGAGCCTCCTGTCCCGGCAAAAGCCAGAGGTTAATCAATCGGTCTTGGTGAATGCCTGTGTGATTCAGTCATGCATGGGGTTCTAGCCTGGAACTCTTGGAGAAGTGGGCCACATGGCCAAATGTTTCCAGAGGGTTAGAAAGACTAGTCGGGGATGGGGGGGAGTGAGGTACCCTGGATTTCGTAACAATGAGGTTGTTGGTAAACTGAACAAGTGTAGTGGAGACAAAAGAGTCTGCAATGAGTTTAGGAAGAGAAGAGATGGTAGGGACTACGTGTAGTCTTTCTAGAAGCTGGGAGGTTGAGGGGAATGTTAATAGGAAGTCTGTGAAAGGGGAGAGAAAATAGTTTGAGGGGACACTGATAGAGCCAGGACTTGCATTCAAGGCCCAAGGAGCTGGGGAAGAGACTCCTCAGGACTAGCTCTTCCCAGATCACTGGGATTTTCCTGAATGCTCAGAGGTATTTCTTGAAAGCCTGATGCCACTTGCTCCAGATGCAGAGCATCCCCAGATTTTTGGAAATATTCACTAAACAGGGATGCCTGGGTGGCTCAGTCGGTTAAGCGGCTGCCTTCGGCTCAGGTCATGATCTGGGGGTCCTGGGATGGAGCCCCAGGTCCTCCCTGCTCAGCGGGGAGCCTGCTTCTCCCTCTGCCTGCCGCTCCCCCTGCTTGTGCTCTCTCTCTTTCTGACAAATTAATAAAATCTTTAAAAAAAATTTCACTAAACAGAAGGTATCAGGAATCGTACCTAGACTGTCCTGAATTCAGAGCTATCAGAATTAAGGAATTAGAATGGTAGAAGGTGAAGTACAGAATTGTAGGATTCTAGCCCCAGTGCACTGGGGTTTTAGAATCCTTGACTGTCAGAGGTCTACAACCACCCGGAATTCTGAAAGTCCCCGAGATCCCTGACACACTATCCTCTCTCCTTTTGGAAGCCTCCAGCCCAAAAGGCTCCGCCTGGCCCAGGGCAAGGCTCCGGATGCGCTGCTACAGAACTAGGGCAAGAGCTTGAAGCAGGGCAAGGCGGAGCCGCTGATAACGACAGAAGGAAGGAGGGAGGGCGGCAGGACCGAGGCAACCACAGAGGACCGGCGTGGGGCAGGCAGGAAGAACGCTCTGTCGAGGCCGAGGCCCGAGCCCCAGCGCATCCCTGGCGCCACCTCTTGCTCTTGCTCCAGGAGGCCGCAGCCTTGAACCCGGAGCCCGGCGCAGAGTACGTGGACCGCGCGCCCATGGGAGCGGTCTCCGGAGGTGGAGGTGCAGCTGCAGCTGATCCGCGGCCGGCCCTCCTGTCCTGCGCGGCTCTAAGGCTGTCGCGGGCGTCGGGCCACTACCAGTACGCGTACCCCAGCACGTGCGCCCAGAGCTCCCGCTGCGCCCGCTGCCGCTTCCTACCAGCCCTTCCGGACGCCGGCGGACGGGAGCCGGCGCAGCTCCGCACGCGGAGCCGCGAGCTGACCGACGGCGTGGCGCGCTACCGCGGCAATGCAGCTGCCTACGCCGGCCGCCGGGGGGCGCAACGCCAGCGGCGGCGCGCGGGAACCAGCGGAAGGGCCGGCGCGTGCTCTGAGCCACGGGCGGGCGGACCTGGGCCCGGCTTTCTGGCCCCGCCGGATACGCCACACCGACTGCTGGAAGGCGTTGCCCGGTGGCTGCTTGTGGCCACCCCGTGTAACCCGCCGGCCTACGCACATCGCGCGCGTCGGGCTGCTGGCTGGGCCCGCGGCTGGTGCCTGGCCGTATGCACTCGCTGCTGCAGCAGTGCGCCTGCGCCACGTACACTATCCCGCGTGGCAGCGTCTCGCAAGTATTCGCGCCGCTGCTGTGGCCACGGCAGTCCTCTTGCCCGGGCTGCCATCTCCCAGCACCTGGAGCTCCTGGACCCCAGCCTCAAGCTCCTCCAGACCACAAGCTAGGATTCCCAGAATCCCGGAGTTAGGATCCCTGCGGCTCGCCCAGGCCGTCCATCCGGACACCCAGACTAAGGGCAGGGCTGGGGGGTCGAGGGCAGGGAGAGGGGGTCCTAGTTCCCTGTTGTGAACGAAGAAGGGCCCGTTCATCCTCCCTGCCCTACCTCCAGCGAGGTACGAGCTCCCCGAGGCCATGCCACGCTGAGGCGGGAGCTGCGGTGAATCAGAACCTATCCCGGCAGGCCCCCGGCCCCGAGCCCATAAAGCTGAGTGGGGAGGGCAATGAAGAGACAAGGACCAGGGACAGCGACTGTGGGAAGGGGGTTGTCATCGTGTCCACTAGGGGAGCAGCGAGCCCTTGCTGGGGACAAGTGTGGATGGGGCCTTGGCAGCAGAAAACAAGCTCTCCCGAGAGCCTTGCGGGCCGGCTGCCTAGCTGACTCCAAGACCTGGATTCTGGAGCGGACGCCGCGGGAGCAGCCGGAGCCTGAGCTCGCTACGCCCCCTGGCGGCTGATCAGCAGGCCAGTCGGCCTTGCAATGAGCCGGATGGAAGGACCCCAGTTACCAATGTTAACACCCACTCTTGGTACAGTGCGGGAAACTGAGGCACACACAGGTGAAGGGGCCTGCCCAAGGCCACAGAGTCAGGGGCAAAGTGGGCTAGAATACATGGTTCCAGACTGTCAGGGGACTTTTCAATAGTGACCTACATTCTTTCCTTTGGGGCCTGAATCCTCTGCCTCTCCATCCACACATGGGTTTGGGTGCCCAGCCCCTCCTTATCTGGGCAGCTGTAAGCCATCCTTTGGATGGGGAGCAGAAAGCGAGGTGTTCTCCGGAGGCTGAAGAGTAAGTGGGGTGGGTTGAGTGAGAAAGGGCCTGCAGGGTCGGTGCGTAGCTGATCCTCTCCAGCACAGAATTCAGTTGTGCCACATGGGGGGGGGGGCTGCCTACATTATCCCCACTGCCTGGGTCTCATCTTTAACCTGGGGTAGGTGGTCAGCTCTGAGATCTACTCAGGAGCCTGCCCTCAGAGCCCCAGCTCCTGCCTGATTCTTCAACTGGTCACAGGACTGGGCCTGCCCGGAGAGAATAAAGCACACCAACATGTCAGCCCGTTTCCACACCTATTGCTTGACACACTCAACCACAAACACAGGCCTTGCCCCAGCCCAGCCCCAGGACTTTGACAGGGCTCAGAGTCTCTGGCCTGGGCTGACGAAAGGGCCCTTTTGTCAATGTAGAGGGAGGGGGACCTTGGCTCTGCTTCTCACCAGCCAGGTCAGGGTAGTGCCCCATGCAGACGCCCCACCTCCACGAAGGCCTCCACACAGCGGTCGATGTCCTCCTCACTGTGCACTGCTGAGATCTGCACCCGGATCCGGGCCTTGCCCTTGGGGACCACTGGATAGCTGAACCCGATGACAAAGATGCCTGGTAAGGTAAAAAGGGTCAACCTGGGACTCACCAAAG